GGAGAGAGCAAAAGAGTGAAAAGGAAAGGATAGTTTGAAAGAAAAAAGAAAAGGAGAGAACGCAAAAGAGTGACAAGAAAAGGAGAGTGCAATAGAAAGAAAAGAAAAGGAGAGAGTAAAAGAGGAAAAGGAAAGGATAGTAAAATAGAAAGAAAAAAGAAAATGAGAGAGCAAAAGAGGACAAGAAAAAAAAGGAGAGTGCAATAGGAAAGAAAAGAAAAAGGAGAGAAAAAAGAGTGAAAAGGAAAGGATAGTGCAATAGAAAGAAAAGAAAAGGAGATAGCAAAAAGAGTGAAAAGGAAAAGGAGAGTGCAATAGAAAGAAAAAGAAAAGGAGAGAGCAAAAGAGGAAAAGGAAAGGATAGTGCAATAGAAAGAAAAGAAAAGGAGAGAGCAAAAGAAAAGTGACAAGAAAAGGAGAGTGCAATAGAAAAGAAAAGAAAAGGAGAGAGCAAAAAGAGTGACAAGAAAAGGAGAGTGCAATAGAAAGAAAAGAAAAGGAGAGAGCAAAAGAGTGACAAGAAAAGGAGAGTGCAATAGAAAGAAAAGAAAAGGAGAGAGCAAAAGAGTGAAAAGGAAAGGATAGTGCAATAGAAAGAAAAGAAAAGGAGAGAGCAAAAGAGTGAAAAGAAAAGGAGAGTGCAATAGAAAGAAAAGAAAAGGAGAGAGCAAAAGAGTGAAAAGGAAAGGATAGTGCAATAGAAAGAAAAGAAAATGAGAGAGCAAAAGAGTGACAAGAAAAGGAGAGTGCAATAGAAAGAAAAGAAAAGGAGAGAACAAAAGAGTGAAAAGGAAAGGATAGTGCAATAGAAAGAAAAGAAAAGGAGATAGCAAAAGTGTGAAAAGGAAAGGAGAGTGCAATAGAAAGAAAAAGAAAAGGAGAGAGCAAAAGAGTGAAAAGGAAAAGGATAGTGTAATAGAAAGAAAAGAAAAGGAGAGAGCAAAAGAGGACAAGAAAAAGGAGAGTGCAAGAAAGAAAAGAAAAGGAGAGAGCAAAAGGACAAGAAAAGGAGAGTGAAAAGGAAAGGATAGTGACAAGAGAAAATAAAGAAAAAAAGAAAAGGAGAGAGCAAAGAGTGACAAGAAAAGGAGAGTGCAATAGAAAGAAAAGAAAAGGAGAGAGCAAAAGAGTGAAAAGAAAAGGAAAGGATAGTGCAATAGAAAGAAAAGAAAAGGAGAGAGCAAAAAAGAGTGAAAAGGAAAAAAAAAAGAGAACAAAAGAGTGAATAGGAAAGAAAAAGAAAAGGAGAGAGCAAAAGAGGACAAGAAAAGAGAGAGAGCAATAGAAAAGAAAAGAAAAGGAGAGAGAGCAAAAGAGTGACAAGAAAAGGAGAGTGCAATAGAAAGAAAAAGAAAAGGAGAGCAAAGAGTGACAAAAAAGATAGTGCAGAAAAGAAAAGAAAATAGAAAGAAAAGAAAAGAGAGCAAAAGAGGACAAGAAAAGGATAGAAGAGAAAAGAAAGAAAAAGAAAAAGAGAGAGGAGAGTGCAAAAAAGAAAAGAAAAGAGAGAAAAGAGAGAAAAGAAAAAAGAAAAGAAAAGAAAAGGAGAGAGAGAAAGAGTGAAAAGAAAAGGATAGTGCAATAGAAAGAAAAGAAAAAGGAGAGAGCAAAAGAGTGACAAGAAAAGGATAGTGCAATAGAAAGAAAAAAAAAGGAAAAAAAAGAGGAGAGAAAGAAAAAAAAAGGTGAGAGCAAAAGAGTGAATAAAAGAAAAGAAAAGGAGAAAAGAGAAAAGAAAAGAAAAGGAGAGAACAAAGAAAAGGGAGAAAGGATAGTGTAATAGAAAGAAAAGAAAAGGAGAGAGCAAAAGAGTGACAAGAAAAGGATAGTGCAATAGAAAGAAAAGAAAAGGAGAGAGCAAAAAGAGGACAAGAAAAGGAGAGGCAATAGAAAGAAAAAGAAAAGGAGAGAGCAAAAGAAAGGACAAAGAAAAGGAGAGAGCAAAGAAAGAAAAGAAAAGAGAGAGAAAGAAAAAAGTGAAAAGGAAAGGATAGTAATAGAAAGAAAAGAAAAGGAGAGAGCAAAAAGTGAAAAGGAAAGGATAGTGCAATAGAAAGAAAAAAAAAGGAGAGAGAGAAAAAAAGGAAAAAAAAAAGATAGTGAATAGAAAGAAAAGAAAAGGAGAGAGCAAAAGAGGAGAAGAAAAGGATAGTGCAATAGAAAGAAAAGAAAAGGTGAGAGCAAAAGAAAAGGAAAGGATAGTGCAATAGAAAGAAAAGAAAATGAGAGAGCAAAAGAGGACAAGAAAAGGAGAGTGCAATAAAAGAAAAGAAAAGGAGAGAACAAAAAAGTGAAAAGGAAAGGATAGTACAGAAAAGAAAAGAAAAGGAGATAGCAAAAGAGTGAAAAGGAAAGGAGAGTGCAATAGAAAGAAAAGAAAAGGAGAGAGCAAAAGAGTGAAAAGGAAAGGATAGTGCAATAGAAAGAAAAGAAAAGGAGAGAGCAAAAGAGTGACAAGAAAAGGAGAGTGCAATAGAAAGAAAAGAAAAGGAGAGAGCAAAAGAGTGACAAGAAAAGGAGAGTGCAATAGAAAGAAAAGAAAAGGAGAGAACAAAAGAGTGAAAAGGAAAGGATAGTGCAATAGAAAGAAAAGAAAAGGAGATAGCAAAAGAGTGAAAAGGAAAGGAGAGTGCAATAGAAAGAAAAGAAAAGGAGAGAGCAAAAGAGTGACAAGAAAAGGAGAGTGCAATAGAAAGAAAAGAAAAGGAGAGAGCAAAAGAGTGAAAAGGAAAGGATAGTGCAATAGAAAGAAAAGAAAAGGAGAGAGCAAAAGAGTGACAAGAAAAGGAGAGTGCAATAGAAAGAAAAGAAAAGGAGAGAGCAAAAGAGTGAAAAGGAAAGGATAGTGCAATAGAAAGAAAATGAAAAGGAGAGAGCAAAAGAGTGAAAAGGAAAGGAGAGTGCAATAGAAAGAAAAGAAAAGGAGAGAGCAAAAGAGTGACAAGAAAAGGAGAGTGCAATAGAAAGAAAAGAAAAGGAGAGAGCAAAAGAGTGACAAGAAAAGTATAGTGCAATAGAAAGAAAAGAAAAGGAGAGAGCAAAAGAGTGACAAGAAAAGGATAGTGCAATAGAAAGAAAAGAAAAGGAGAGAGCAAAAGAGTGACAAGAAAAGGTGAGTGCAATAGAAAGAAAAGAAAATTAGAGAGCAAAAGAGTGACAAGAAAAGGATAGTGCAATAGAAAGAAAAGAAAAGGAGAGAGCAAAAGAGTGAAAAGAAACGGAAAGTGCAAAAGAAAGAAAAGAAAAGGAGAGAGCAAAAGAGTGACAAGAAAAGGAGAGTGCAATAGAAAGAAAAGAAAAGGAGAGAGCAAAAGAGTGAAAAGGAAAGGATAGTGCAATAGAAAGAAAAAGAAAAGGCGAGAGCAAAAAGAGTGAAAAGGAAAGGATAGTGCAATAGAAAGAAAAAGAAAAGGAGAGAGCAAAAAGAGGACAAGAAAAGGAGAGTGCAATAGAAAGAAAAGAAAAGGAGAGAGCAAAAGAGTGAAAAGGAAAGGATAGTGCAATAGAAAGAAAAGAAAATTAGAGAGCAAAAGAGTGACAAGAAAAGGATAGTGCAATAGAAAGAAAAGAAAAGGAGAGAGCAAAAGAGTGAAAAGGAAAGGATAGTGCAATAGAAAGAAAAGAAAAGGAGAGAGCAAAAGAGTGAAAAGTAAAGGAGAGTGCAATAGAAAGAAAAGAAAAGGAGAGAGCAAAAGAGTGACAAGAAAAGTATAGTGCGATAGAAAGAAAAGAAAAGGAGAGAGCAAAAGAGTGACAAGAAAAGGATAGTGCAATAGAAAGAAAAGAAAAGGAGAGAGCAAAAGAGTGACAAGAAAAGGAGAGTGCAATAGAAAGAAAAGAAAATTAGAGAGCAAAAGAGGACAAGAAAAGGATAGTAATAGAAAGAAAAGAAAAGGAGAGAGCAAAAGAGTGAAAAGAAACGAAAGTGCAAAAAGAAAGAAAAGAAAAGGAGAGAGCAAAGAGGACAAGAAAAGAGAGTGCAATAGAAAGAAAAGAAAAGGAGAGAGCAAAAGAGGAAAAGGAAAGGATAGTGCAATAGAAAGAAAAGAAAAGGAGAGAGCAAAAGAGGACAAGAAAATGATAGTGCAATAGAAAGAAAAGAAAAGGAGAGAGCAAAAAGAGGACAAGAAAAGGAGAGTGCAATAGAAAGAAAAGAAAAGGAGAGAGCAAAAGAGTGAAAAGGAAAGGATAGTGCAATAGAAAGAAAAGAAAACGAGAGAGCAAAAGAGTGACAAGAAAAGGATAGTGCAATAGAAAGAAAAGAAAAGGAGAGAGCAAAAGAGTGACAAGAAAAGGATAGTGCAATAGAAAGAAAAGAAAAGGAGAGAGCAAAAAAGTGACAAGAAAAGGAGAGTGCAATAGAAAGAAAAGAAAAGGAGAGAGCAAAAGAGTGACAAGAAAAGGATAGTGCAATAGAAAGAAAAGAAAAGGAGAGAGCAAAAGAGTGAAAAGAAAAGGAGAGTGCAATAGAAAGAAAAGAAAAGGAGAGAGCAAAAGAGTGAAAAGGAAAGGATAGTGCAATAGAAAGAAAAGAAAAGGAGAGAGCAAAAGAGTGACAAGAAAAGGATAGTGCAATAGAAAGAAAAGAAAAGGAGAGAGCAAAAGAGTGACAAGAAAAGGAGAGTGCAATAGAAAGAAAAGAAAAGGAGAGAGCAAAAGAGTGACAAGAAAAGAGAGTGCAATAGAAGGAAAAGAAAAGGAGAGAGCAAAAGAGTGACAAGAAAAGAGAGTGCAAAAGAAAGAAAAGAAAAGGCGAGAGCAAAAGAGTGAAAAAAAAGGAGAGTGCTATAGAAAGAAAAGAAAAGGAGAGAGCAAAAGAGTGAAAAGAAAAGGAGAGTGCAAAAGAAAGTAAAGAAAAGGAGAGAGCAAAAGAGTGAAAAGAAAAGAGAGTGCAAATGAAAGAAAAGAAAAGACGAGAGCAAAAGAGTGAAAAGAAAAGGAGAGTGCAAAAGAAAGAAAAGAAAAGGCGAGAGCAAAATAGTGAAAAGAAAAGGAGAGTGCTATAGAAAGAAAAGAAAAGGAGAGAGCAAAAGAGTGAAAAGAAAAGGATAGTGCAATAGAAAGAAAAGAAAAGGAGAGAGCAAAAGAGTGAAAAGCAAAGACAGTGCAATAGAAGGAAAAGTAATGAGAGAGCAAAAACAAAAAAGAAAAAGAGAGAGTAAAAAGAAAGAAAAGAAAAGGAGAGAGCAAAAGAGTGAAAAGAAAAGGAGAGTGCAAAAAGAAAGAAAAGAAAAGGCGAGAGCAAAAGAGTGAAAAGAAAAGTAGAGAGCAAAAAAAAGAAAAAGAAAAGGAGAGAGCAAAAGAGTGAAAAGAAAAAGGAGAGGAAAAGAAAAGAAAAGAAAAGGAGAGAGCAAAAGAGTGAAAAGCAAAGAGAGTGCAATAGAAGGAAAAGTAATGAGAGAGCAAAAACAAAAAAGAAAAAGAGAGAGTAAAAAGAACGAAAAGAAAAGGAGAGAGCAAAAGAGTGAAAAGAAAAGGAGAGTGCAAAAGAAAGAAAAGAAAAGGCGAGAGCAAAAGAGTGAAAAGAAAAAGAGAGTGCTATAGAAAGAAAAGAAAAGGAGAGAGCAAAAGAGTGAAAAGAAAAGGAGAGTGCAAAAGAAAGAAAAGAAAAGGAGAGAGCAAAAGAGTGAAAAGAAAAGAGAGTGCAATAGAAGGAAAAGTAATGAGAGAGCAAAAACAAAAAAGAAAAAGAGAGAGTAAAAAGAAAGAAAAGAAAAGGCGAGAGCAAAAGAGTGAAAAGAAAAGAGAGTGCAATAGAAGGAAAAGAAAAGTAGAGAGCAAAAGAGTGAAAAGAAAAGGAGAGTGCAATAAAAAGAAAAGAAAAGGAGAGAGCAAAAGAGTGAAAAGTAAAGAGAGTGCAATAGAAGGAAAAGAAAAGGAGAGAGCAAAAGAGTGAAAAGAAAATGGAAAAGAAAAGGAGAGTGCAAAAGAAAAGAAAAAAGAAAAAAAAGAAAGAGAGAAAAAGAGTGACAAGAAAAGGAGAGTGAAAAAGAAAGAAAAGAAAAGGAGAGAGCAAAAAGAGGACAAGAAAAGGAGAGTGCAATAGAAAGAAAAGAAAAGGAGAGAGCAAAAGAGGAAAAGAAAAGAGAGGCAATAGAAGGAAAAGAAAAGGAGAGAGCAAAAGAGTGACAAGAAACGGAAAGTGCAAAAGAAAGAAAAGAAAAGGAGAGAGCAAAAGCTTGAAAAGAAAAGAGAGTGCAATAGAAGGAAAAGAAAAGGAGAGAGCAAAAGAGTGAAAAGAAATGGAAAGTGCAAAAAAAAGAAAAGAAAAGGAGAGAGCAAAAGAGTGAAAAGAAAAGGAGAGTGCAAAAGAAAGAAAAGAAAAGGAGAGAGCAAAAGAGTGAAAAGAAAAGGAGAGTGCAAAAGAAAGAAAAGAAAAGGAGAGAGCAAAAGAGTGAAAAGAAAAGGAGAGTGCAAAAGAAAGAAAAGAAAAGGAGAGAGCAAAAGAGTGACAAGAAAAGGAGAGTGCTATAGAAAGAAAAGAAAAGGAGAGAGCAAAAGAGTGAAAAGTAACGGAAAGTGCAAAAGAAAGAAAAGAAAAGGAGAGAGCAAAAGAGTGGAAAGAAAAAGAGAGTGCAAAAGAAAGAAAAGAAAAAGGAGAGAGCAAAAGAGGAAAAGAAAAAAAAGGAGAGTGCAAAAGAAAGAAAAGAAAAGGAGAGAGCAAAAGAGTGACAAGAAAAGGAGAGTGAAAAAGAAAGAAAAGAAAAGGAGAGAGCAAAAGAGTGACAAGAAAAGGAGAGTGCTATAGAAAGAAAAGAAAAGGAGAGAGCAAAAGAGTGAAAAGAAAAGGAGAGTGCAAAAGAAAGAAAAAAAAGGAGAGAGCAAAAGAGTGACAAGAAAAAGGAGAGTGCTATAGAAAGAAAAGAAAAGGAGAGAGCAAAAGAGTGAAAAGTAACGAAAGTGCAAAAGAAAGAAAAGAAAAGGAGAGAGCAAAAAGAGGAAAGAAAAAGAGTGCAAAAGAAAGAAAAGAAAATGAGAGAGCAAAAGAGTGAAAAGAAAAGGAGAGTGCAAAAGAAAGAAAAGAAAAGGAGAGAGCAAAAGAGTGACAAGAAAAGGAGAGTGAAAAAGAAAGAAAAGAAAAGGAGAGAGCAAAAGAGTGACAAGAAATGGAGAGTGCAATAGAAAGAAAAGAAAAGGAGAGAGCAAAAGAGTGAAAAGTAACGGAAAGTGCAAAAGAAAGAAAAGAAAAGGAGAGAGCAAAAGAGTGGAAAGAAAAGGAGAGTGCAAATTAAAGAAAAGAAAAGGAGAGAGCAAAAGAGTGACAAGAAAAGGAGAGTGCTATAGAAAGAAAAGAAAAGGAGAGAGCAAAAGAGTGAAAAGAAACAGAAAGTGCAAAAGAAAGAAAAGAAAAGGAGAGAGCAAAAGAGTGAAAAGAAACGGAAAGTGCAAAAGAAAGAAAAGTAAAGGAGAGAGCAAAAGAGTGAAAAGAAACGGAAAGTGCAAAAGAAAGAAAAGAAAAGGAGAGTGCAAAAGAAAGAAAAGAAAAGGAGAGAGCAAAAGAGTGAAAAGAAAAGGAGAGTGCAATAGAAAGAAAAGAAAAGGAGAGTGCAAAAGAAAGAAAAGAAAAGGAGAGAGCAAAAGAGTGAAAAGAAACGGAAAGTGCAAAAGAAAGAAAAGTAAAGGAGAGAGCAAAAAGTGAAAAGAAACGGAAAGTGCAAAAGAAAGAAAAGAAAAGGAGAGTGCAAAAGAAAGAAAAGAAAAGGAGAGAGCAAAAGAGTGACAAGAAAAGGAGAGTGCAATAGAAAGAAAAGAAAAGGAGAGAGCAAAAAGAGTGAAAAGGAAAGGATAGTGCAATAGAAAGAAAAAGAAAAGGAGAGAGCAAAAAAGAGTGAAAAGGAAAGGAGAGTGCAATAGAAAGAAAAGAAAAGGAGAGAGCAAAAGAGTGAAAAGAAAAGGAGAGTGCAAAAGAAAGAAAAGAAAAGGAGAGAGCAAAAGAGTGAAAAGAAAAACAAGAGTGCAATAGAAAGAAAAGAAAAGGAGAGTGCAAATAAAGGAAAAAAAAGGAGAGAGCAAAAGAGTGAAAAGAAACGGAAAGTGCAAAAGAAAGAAAAGTAAAGGAGAGAGCAAAAAGTGAAAAGAAACGGAAAGTGCAAAAGAAAGAAAAGAAAACGAGAGTGAAAAAAAAAAGAAAAGGAGAAAGCAAAAGAGTGAAAAGAAACAAAAAGTGCAAAAGAAAGAAAAAAAGAAGAGGAGAGAGCAAAAGAGTGACAAGAAAAGGAGAGTGCAATAGAAAGAAAAGAAAAGGAGAGAGCAAAAGAGTGAAAAGGAAAGGATAGTGCAATAGAAAGAAAAGAAAAGGAGAGAGCAAAAGAGTGAAAAGGAAAGGAGAGTGCAATAGAAAAAAAAGAAAAGGAGAGAGCAAAAGAGTGAAAAGAAAAGGAGAGTGCAAAAGAAAGAAAAGAAAAGGAGAGAGCAAAAGAGTGAAAAGAAAAGGAGAGTGCAATAGAAAGAAAAGAAAAGGAGAGTGCAAAAGAAAGAAAAGAAAAGGAGAGAGCAAAAGAGTGAAAAGAAACGGAAAGTGCAAAAGAAAGAAAAGTAAAGGAGAGAGCAAAAAGTGAAAAGAAACGGAAAGTGCAAAAGAAAGAAAAAGAAAAGAGTGCAAAAGAAAAAAAAAGAAAAGGAGAGAACAAAAGAGTGAAAAGAAAACAGAAAGTGCAAAGAAAGAAAAAAGAAAAGGAGAGAGCAAAAGAGTGACAAGAAAAGGAGAGTGCAATAGAAAGAAAAAAAAAGGAGAGAGCAAAAAGAGTGAAAAGGAAAAATAGTGCAATAGAAAGAAAAGAAAAGGAGAGAGCAAAAAGAGTGAAAAGGAAAGGAGAGTGCAATAGAAAGAAAAAGAAAAGGGAGAGAGCAAAAGAGGAAAAGAAAAGGAGAGTGCAAAAGAAAAGAAAAAGAAAAGGAGAGAGCAAAAGAGTGAAAAAAGAAAAGGAGAGTGCAATAGAAAGAAAAAAAAAAAGGAGAGTGCAAAAGAAAGAAAAGAAAAGGAGAGAGCAAAAAGAGTGAAAAGAAACGGAAAGTGCAAAAAGAAGAAAAGTAAAGGAGAGAGCAAAAAGTGAAAAGAAACGGAAAGTGCAAAAGAAAGAAAAGAAAACGAGAGTGAAAAAAAAGAAAAGAAAAGGAGAAAGCAAAAGAGTGAAAAGAAACGGAAAGTGCAAAAGAAAGAAAAGAAGAGGAGAGAGCAAAAGAGTGACAAGAAAAGGAGAGTGCAATAGAAAGAAAAGAAAAGGAGAGAGCAAAAGAGTGAAAAGGAAAGGATAGTGCAATAGAAAGAAAAGAAAAGGAGAGAGCAAAAGAGTGAAAAGGAAAGGAGAGTGCAATAGAAAGAAAAGAAAAGGAGAGAGCAAAAGAGTGACAAGAAAAGGAGAGTGCAAAAGAAAGAAAAGAAAAGGAGAGAGCAAAAGAGTGAAAACAAAAGGAGAGTGCAATAGAAAGAAAAGAAAAGGAGAGTGCAAAAAAAGAAAAGAAAAGGAGAGAGCAAAAGAGTGAAAAGAAACGGAAAGTGCCAAAGAAAGAAAAGTAAAGGAGAGAGCAAAAAGTGAAAAGAAACGGAAAGTGCAAAAGAAAGAAAAGAAAAGGAGAGTGCAAAAGAAAGAAAAGAAATGGAGAGAGCAAAAGAGTGAAAAGAAACGGAAAGTGCAAAAGAAAGAAAAGAAAAGGAGAGAGCAAAAGAGTGACAAGAAAAGGAGAGTGCAATAGAAAGAAAAGAAAAGGAGAGAGCAAAAGAGTGAAAAGGAAAGGATAGTGCAATAGAAAGAAAAGAAAAGGAGAGAGCAAAAGAGTGAAAAAGGAAAGGAGAGTGCAATAGAAAGAAAAAAAGAAAAAAGGAGAGAGCAAAAGAGTGACAAGAAAAGGAGAGTGCAAAAGAAAGAAAAGAAAAGGAGAGAGCAAAAGAGTGAAAAGAAAAGGAGAGTGCAATAGAAAGAAAAGAAAAGGAGAGAGCAAAAGAGTGAAAAGAAACGGAAAGTGCAAAAGAAAGAAAAGAAAAGGAGAGAGCAAAAGAGTGAAAAGAAACGGAAAGTGCAAAAGAAAGAAAAGAAAAGGAGAGAGCAAAAGAGTGAAAAGAAACGGAAAGTGCAAAAGAAAGAAAAGAAAAGGAGAGAGCAAAAGAGTGAAAAGAAAAGGAGAGTGCAAAAGAAACAAAAGAAAAGGAGAGAGCAAAAGAGTGAAAAGAAAAGAGAGTTCAATAGAAGGAAAAGTAATGAGAGAGAGTAATAACAAAAAAAGAGAGTGCAAAAGAATGAAAAAAAAAGGAGAGCAAAAGAAAGGAAAGAGAAGGAGAGAGCAAAAGAAAAAAGAAACGCGAGAGCAAAAGAAAGAAAAGGAAAGGAGAGTGAACAAGAAAGAAAAGTAACGAGAGAGGAAAAGAAAGAAAAGAAAAGGAAAGAGCAATGAAAAGTAAGTAACCAATTATAATTCATTGATGTTTGAACTCACAAAGTTTTGGAAGTTAAAGAAGGTCACAATCATACCAGTTGTCATTGGTGTACTTGGTACGGTAGTTGACAGAATAAAAATGGATAAAGAAAATTAGCATTGCTTGTCCAGTGGAAGTGTCGCAGAAAAGAACCCCCTTAAGAACTGCAAGAAGAATTCTAAAAGAAATGAATAATTGAAAGAATAAGAAAATTGCATCTGTCTATATTTCTGAGATGAGGTATTATGTACATTATTTACATTATTCGGACTGTTATCCTCATTTTTGTCGCCATATTTATTACAATATTTCGGCCGTTGTACGCTCTTCAGGTGGTTGAAATGTCGAACTAAACCCTTTATTTCGCTCACTGGGGTAGACTGTTCTAGTTCCACATGCCATGTTTAATGGATGTCAGTTATCAGTTATCTCCTGTTAATTTCCCGCTGAAAGTTCGCCACTGCTAAGGCAACTTTAGTTCGATCCTTGAGTTGGATAGAGGCGCTAGTTAGATCCTTGAGGACACATGGCACAGTGGATAAAAGCGTTATTTAGATTCAGTGACAGAACCGAAAGAGTGTGAGTTCAATACCCGGTTAAAGCAGTAGAGAACATTGCATGATAGCAATTGCTGCTGATTGTGGTCCGCTAACCATTAATAAATTCCTAGAATTTAAGATTTTATATGAGATAATATTTAAATAATAATAAAAGATATTTATGGAAATTCTTTGGAATCTACTCAGGGGATCCAGTGACAATTTGTACAATCTTGGCATTTACAGAAACACTATAATATCATTGGCAATCCACCCATCATAACAACATTATACAAGAAAGAAATCTTAGGCAAAGCGGAATTTGCTTGGTATTTCAGGTCTTGAGAATTCAATTTTTCCATTATTTAAAATCATTAAGGCGTAAATTTTCAATTATATTAATTATAATAGAGTCAAAGATTGTATTTCCATCTGAACATGAAGTAAGCTTTGAAATAAATGTCTGTAAAAATGTACATTCTTTTTATACACCCAAATAAATACTATTAATAATATAGTGGAAGCTTAGATCATCTTCAAGACGTGTTCATGAAATAAGCATTGGCGTAAAGGTTGGTTTAAGTGGAAATGTCTCAGAATTAGCCACTCATGTTTTATATTTATTTAAATTGGTATATATATATATATATATATATATATATATATACATATTGGTATATATATAAATTGGTATAGGGGGAGAGAGTGAGAAAGAGAGAGAGAGAGAGAGAGAGACAAAGATAGAGAGAAAGAGAGAGAGAGATTTTTTGTGTGAGAGAGAATGCTTGTTATATCTCTTTTATATTAATATCATGCTTACAAATTTGACCTGGAATTTCGAAGGAAGGAAAACTTCCACTAAAATGTTCTGTAATAAATATAATTACACGAGCATCTCACGTTTCAAAAGATCTTCTTTCCTCTAAATCCATAAAACTGGTTTCACTTGAATCTCTTCGTTTCGTACATGTAGTATTTGATATGCAATAGCCTCCCCAACAAACCTCAGCTTGGTGGGTGGGGACTGGATACAAGTTCTCTAGGTAAATAAAACTTACATATAAACAGGAATGTTATTTCGACATCCATTTAATTCGTAATCTCTGGCTTTCGCAAACTGTTTTCTTTGGAGTAAATTCGCCCTCCCCTACATTTGCCTTTAGGAGTGTTTGTTCTTGCAATTTAAACCCTAATAAATACTTACACATATACACACACACACGCGTACACACACAAACTTACACACACACACACACACACACACACACACACACACACACACACACACACACACACACATATATATATATATATATATATGTGTGTGTATATATAGTAAAATAGAATGACTGGAAAATTATTGAATGTACCAGATGACATTTTAGCGCCGTTTATGTGGGAAACAAACGGAATATTTATTACTTCTTGATAAATCTATCTCGTTCATTTTCCTCTCCATCAGCGTAGATACAGACCAAGTGGCAACAAGTCATCTGATCTATCGAAAAGTTCTCAGCCCGATCAAGAAGCCTTGCCCAAAGATATTTTGGAAGGGGTCGAAACCAAAAGAAACTCGCTAGTATATATATACAATACATGCATAATATATATATATGTGTGTGTGTTTGTGTGTGTGTTTGTGTGTGTGTGTGGATTAAACGCTATTTTTAAGAGATACCCTTATTTGAGTAAATGCTCTGTTTTTATTTATTTATTAAACAGTATATTTATTTATTTCCCGCTACCGGACTGAATATTCAAGGAATCTTATTAGAAAATATGCGCTCTTCGGCAAGACCCGAACTTTATTATTATTATTAGATCTGACGTGCTTTGATTTCTTGGCCACGAAGAATCTCCCGGTCAATCAAAGCCCGAATACCTTTGAACACAGACCTTTCCGGATTCTCGAAATATACATCTCCTGAAAGATGGTTTTCTTCATGGACATCGCAAGTTTGAATCTTGCCGGAGACTGCATATTTTTCTAACATTTCTCGAATATTCAGGGCGGTAGATAGAACTAAATAAATCATCACCAGAAAATCATTACGATATCAAAAAATATATTACAATCCAAAAATGTCCCGGCTTTAAATAACCTGTAAGAGGTTGATAAACCGTAATCGATAAAAAAAAGTAAAAGTAAAAGAAAAGAACATAAAATATAATTTGAATATTATTTACATTATTCGGACTATTGTCCTCATCTTTGTCGCCATATTTATTACAACGTTTCGGACGTTGTACGCTTCGGTCTTCCTCAGATGGTTGGAATGTTGAACTGAACCCTTTATTTCGCTGACTGGGGTAGACTGTTCTAGTTCCACGTGCCATGTCTAAGGGATGTCAGTTACCAGTTATCTCCTGTTAATTTTCCCTCTGAAAGTTCTTCACTGCTTTAACCGGGTATTGAACTCACACTCTTTGGGTTCTGTCAGTGGATCTAACTAACGCCTTTATCCATGTGTGCCATGTGTCCTTGACAAATTGAATACTATTTAATTAATATTTAATTAATATTTAATAATAATCATAAAAATAATTATTTAATAATAATCGATTATTCATGTCTAATAATAATAAATGATAAAAGCTAGAATTTGACCAATGATAGAAAGAGCATTTGAAACGGTGGCAAAAATATTGGAATCAAGATTGTATAGGTTGGAAGTCGTTGAAAGGGTCAAGATAGTAACGACATCATCGTTGCTAGTGTCAGCGAGCGAGGATATTGAGAGAGGTGCTGGTGAATTGCGATGATCAACTTTCACTCACTTCTTAGCGATAACCACCAGATATCTAATCTAGACAACCAGATGAAGAAATAAATACCAGTGCTACTAATAATAATAACTAATAAAACCATGGCTGTAACATCGAGGAACGATGTCGATAAAATGTAAGGCGTACTTTTTTTTTTTACTAAAAATTGCGAGGATCGCTCGAAAGTAATATCTCCTATTTCTTTTATTTAGTAATGGATAGCGGCTCGGATTGAGGAATCGGAGAGCCATGTTCAAAATCCAGTCAAGTTCATTACATTGTCTTACTACACGCAAGTCACCAATCTGCCACGAGGCGACATGCCACTAGCGTTTACCGTTGGTGGCCCGCTGTCGGAACGCCGGCGTTTTCGTCTTGACAATGTTACCACTGGCGGACAGCAAGAGACCCATCGGTGGATACCACCAGATGACCGCTTGCGTCCCCATCGGCGGTCCGCCAGCGGGCTACTAGCGTCTTGCATGTAGGGGTATAAATCAATTTCTTTTCCCTCAAGCTATGGTCAAATAGCAGGACAGATTGTGTTCTATAGCTTTGTTGGCGACTAGTCTAGGAGAAGGAAAAACTCTGAATTCAAACCAGCTCCGCCAGGTGAAAGAAACATCACTGCTACTGCGACTGTAGTCTATTAGATGCAGCTAGGACCCTAATTGGTTCCGGCGGGACTCGCGCCTGAGCAACAATCAGGGAAAATAACGTCTAACAAGAAATTGCGTCATCAACGATCGCTGGACGTTTACAAAGACCAAACAATGGATGTGAATACAGTTAGACAGCGGCGATTGCGAAGCGTGTATCAAGTGTGTTTACTAGAGTAGCACACAGAATCTTGTTCACTGTTGGCTAAAATACATGGACAAATGTGGGGGGTGACAATTTGCGAACCAGAGACAGACGTTCAGTCACCTCCGGAAGCCCGTTTCAAAAGTAAAGCGAGCATTATTATGAATGTATGTATTTATATACTGCGCGGAGATTTCGGGTATTTTTTTTTTTTTTTTTTGGTGTTCACCCTGTACAAGACTCGGGGGTCACAAATGTAAAAGGTTACAATATAAGAGGCACAGTTTATGGGTATATATGAGGATGATAACCCTAGACTAGAACAGGTTGAGATTGTAGTGGTCGGGGAATCCTCTTGGAAGTCGGTATGTAAAAAAAAAAAAAAAAAAAAAAACTAATAAAACAGCCAGCAATGTAAATGCATGCTGTTGGAAAATTCCATATTAAATACCCAGACATCGTCTATTCAAGCGGAATATTTTAGAGGAAGACCGGAGCGTACAAGGTCCGAAACGAAAGCAATCCAAACACAACAAATTAACGAATATCATCTGTACGGCCAGAAGGATGAAACCTTCGATAAATCTGCTGTCAGCCTGAGTTCCAATAGACGCTTCCAGGCAAGAAGCCACATTTGGCGTACACTCGTTCACCATGACTGGAGAAAATTATGAAAATGAATTAGATTCGACCAGGCAATTCCATGGTATAAACGTAATTCAGAAACTGCCTTGGTACATAAAGGAAAAAAAAACAAGAATGATTACCGAGACATAGAAAGACAAACAGATCACGAAATAGAAGACAGATGATCTGATCTAATCATTGTAAACAAAGAATATCTGTCAAGTAGGGGAGTACGTTTTTTGAGGGAAACAGGATAAAAACCAGAAAG